TGAATGAATGAATGAATGAATAAATAAATAAATAAATAAATAAATAAATAAATAAATAAATAAATAAATAAATAAATAAATGAATGAATGACTATGGAGCTCTGACTACAAAAGCTGCCATGGCACAAGGTGTCTGGTTGGGTGAGTAGGCCACGACTGCTTTTCTGCAGTTGGAGCACCATGAATGTAAGTGTTGAACAGGATACCGACTATTGGCTTTTGGCTGAAGCAACATGGTTTTGTATATCCCTATATCATGTCTGTGGCTTTGTGACCTCAGAATTGTAGGACCAGAGCCCCCAGAATTGTTCACTGCTGGCCATGCAGGCTGGGGCTTCTAGAAGCTGAAATTCAGCAACATCTGGGGAGCCAGTCTTGGGAAACACTGATCTTAAAGCAATAAGAAGTACACAGACAAACATTAAGTAGCTCAAACTGAAGAGCATGACTTAAATCAGCAGCTTTATAGAAGTAGGTGGACTCCTACTGTCTTTAGTGTCAGCTGATCTCTTCTGAATGAGTAGTGTGCAATACCACCCACCAACAAAGGGCAGACTGTCAGCATCCTATTCTAGGAAGGTGTGAGGATTTGCCTTCCAGACACTCTTGTTCAAGCTCATTACCACTTTGTCGTATGTTCTGCCATGCAAAAGCATTGTGTATTACAGCAATGTTCTGTGTCCCAACACAGCATGCATTATGGAACTGCAGAATTGTAGAGTTGGGAGGCATAGCCAAGGTCCTCTAGTCCAGCTTGCTGATAGTGCAGGAAATCCTCAATTGACACTGGTTTTGATATAATTGTGCTGCCCCTTCAGCAGGAGTGGTTCTGGTACTGGCTTCTCTCTTAGATGCTTCCAAGAGGATTTAAATTCTATATATCTTCTCACAATGATGATGATGATGATGATGATGATGATGATGATGATGATGATGCTGCTGATGATTTTGGAAAACTAAGTGATTTCTTATAATGGAAAATGTAGAGCAGAACACAATATGATGCAGTATCTGTGTGCAAGAAAGGAAACTAATAAGCAGCAGCAATAGCAGCCTGGCCAGTTTTGGGGACTGTGACAGCTGATTTACAGTATTTTTCATGTGGTGACTAATAAGGTTTGGTTTATACGAAACAAGAAAAGACTGAGGATTGGGGAATGCATAACCCAAAGCCTCTCTTTATGTGGGTGACAATGGATGATTTTGCAATCAAGTGAATGGGAGTCTTATGCCCCACCCAAGACACTTTCATATTAATGTGTTCCAGATTTAGTCATAGTAGACTCATGGGCCTCAATTCAATTACGGGTCTCAGCTACAGTAGATCCATTGGAGCAATTGCTGAATGGATTCAATGGAGCTACTCCAGTTGTTGGATGTTTTTTAATCAAGGCATATTTTTGTAATTAACCAATATTGGACACAGCTTTGAAGAGTAAAAAAAATACAAGTAAGGTTATTTCCCCTCTTCATAATTACTAGATGAAGTAATGTAGAGAAGTTACTTTCTGGTCTGCGATCAAAGGAATCCTGCAGCTAGTTTGGCCATTGATACTACGGCTGGCTGGTTTCTGGGGGTTGCAGTCCTCTAAAATTAAGTTCTCGAGCTGTGAACTCTGGAGCATGACACCCTACTAGACTAGTCCTATCAGTCCGTGGAATGGGTGATGCAGAGCAGATCCTTGGCTAAAAGTTTGTTGCATCTGGTGCTCAGTGCCATTGCCTTAGGGCTGTTTTGCACATTCCATGAAATTTGCCTAGTTAATAGTATCTTCCTCTGTGTGATGGCCTGCATGAGTCACTCAGTGGGCAGTTGAACTTTGAACAAAAACTAGCATTTCTGATCATTGGTAATGATGGCTAGAATATCCGGAGGGACAGATGTGGGGAAGGCTCTATTAGATCAACCAGAGAAAGATGACAAGTTGAAAAGAGGGCAGTTCATCTTTGCCCCCTGCCTGTCTTCCTTACTCAGAGGGTGCAGAGGAATTGGTAGCAAGCCAGAAAAACTGCTGCAGAATCAATGTTTCTTTTCTTTCCATTGCTCTGGCCGAAGGTACAGACTTTTGGACCCATTTATGCCAACTCCTCCCCTCGGTGCCTCCCACCAATGTTCAGTCTTATTTGTGGCTACAGAACATGGTGGTATATTCTTGAATATTTTCTAACGTAGCCAAGTCTGAAGGTTTAAAGACGGACATTTCTTAGCTTTTAGGAATGACGCACTTAAAATGCAGAGTTTCCATAGTAACACGAGGTGTGCGTGAGAGAGTCTGCAAATCTAAGCTTGATGTCATGCTTTTAACTAAATGTGATACTATTGTTCTTTTTGCAGGTGATTGAAGAAATTGAGGAAATGATGCACAATTCACCAGACCCTGAAGAAGAAGAGGAGGAGGAAGAGGAGGGAGAGTCAGTTTTGGTGGAAGATGATGGTGGAGAAACTAGCAGTCAGGCTGACTCAGTCCTTCTGCAAGAAATGCAGGCATTGTCACAAACTCTCAACAACAATTGGTCTTGTGAAGGTGAGGCTGAAAGGTCTGAGTATGAAGAATAATCTGCTTTCTTGAGCCAGTATACATTGGCCAAAATCCTTTACTCAGTGTAGCAAATCACATTAGATCAATGTGGATTTAGAGAGTTAAAATAAGTAGTAGTTAGAGTAGACCTATTTGAATTCAACATAAGTTGTCTCAAGTCTCCATGGATTTAATGAGACTACTCTAGTGTGATTTATTCTGCTAAGTAACAAGATTTGGGGCACTATATATTTTTAAAAAATTCCTGGAATGTATGGTTTCACACTGGAGGTTGGGAATCAAATATTCCAAACTCTCCATCAATCTTTTTCAGAACAACGAGTGACTGGGGCTTTAATTTCAAAGCACTGAAATTTAGGAGCACATTTTCTTTCTGCTAGGAGGAAATGAACTTGCTCACCCAAGATGCACTTACTACCTGCAGTTACTTCTCTTCAGCGTAAGGAAACACAAAAGCGAGTGTAGACTTACTTCCAAACCAATATGGCTACTCCATGCACCTGGACATTCCTCCTTATTCCTCTGTCCTCTCCCTAGGTGTGCTAATCTCACATGAACAGAACTTAACCAACAAGGTAACAATGGCCTGGGTATTGGTTGGATATTCCTCTGTCCTCTCCCTAGGTGTGCTACTCTCACAGAACTTAACCAACAGGGTAACAATGGCCTGGGTACTAGTTGGGCAGTTACAGTTCTGATCTTCTTGCCCAGAAAGCCAATGATTTGAAAGATCAGCCTACTGTCCTCCATATGTATAGTGATAATACTGTTGCAACGTGTGTTTATTCAAATATGCAGCTCCCCCACAACAGCATAAAGTGGTGCAGTCTGGGAAAATCTACACCCTTTGAGTCTACTCAGTATCTTTTTATTTCTCTCCATTTCTCAACCTAGAGTGAACAATGTTCAGTAATTTATGCTTGAGTGGACAAATTTGGCCCTCTAGGTGTTCCAGGACAGAGGTAAATTTGGAACTCCAAGGGTCAAACGTAACATTCCCCATAGCCGCCTCAGTAAGGAGAGGCCACACATGTGGGAACGAGTACTTTGTACTCATAGTGGCCCTGAATTTATGTCCAACCCACCCGCAACAGGATTTTTTTTGCAACCACATCATGTTCCTGAAAATCAGTTTCTCTACCACTTATTGAAAGGGTCACAGCCAAACACAAGGGGTATCAAGAAATCAGAGGGGAATGGAGGCTGATGTAATAACCCTTGCTACTCAAAGCATCCCAAGGCGTCAACCCTTCGAGCCCTGGTTCCGCTATACCACTGCTCTAGAAGCGTCATTCTCATCAGGTCCAGCCAGCATAGCCAATGGTGAGGGGGTTGCATTCCAACAACATTGGGAGACCCTGATGCTTCCCTACTGATGGTAGGCCGTTCAACAGGATATTGCTTTGTTACTGTGTTCTCTCCGATATTGTGCAGCATTCTTGTGGCAGTCCTGTCACAGAATGGTACAGAGATAATGAGAGATTTTAGTCTGCCCTCATATGTTTTGATGTTGCTTTTCCTTAACATTGATGGATTCATTTGCAGGCTGCGCCATCCCAAGAGCCTGGGGTGAGTTAATAGTCTTTCATTTAAAACAAAAAACATAAAGCCAGAGATCAGATGGTCGGGTGAAGAACAGAGTGGGGGGGAAAAAACCCCAAAACCAAAGGCAGAGCTTCTGCTGTAAGGGAGAGAAGGGATTTTAAGAGTCAATGCTCAAAACTTTTAAAATCTCAAGCACTTTTCACCTTAATCTGAAGAAATATGCAATTTTGGATGAATTCTTCCCAGAAACAAACTGAAAGGAAAACCCCAACTGTTTGTAGATGAAGCGAACATCAGCTTGTCTCTCATTAATAATTCCCACCCAATTGGGAAGAAGGTTTTGTCAATAGTGGCTTCCAGTATGTTCCTGGCTGAAATTCAAAGGCTTTGCTTTTCCCCTTTAAATCTTTAATGGCTTGGCACCAGGGTGCTGGGAGGATGTGTCTTCTCCCAGACCGGTTGGCCCCTCGGTTGATGTCACTCTGCATCCAGGTGCAGGCTCCTCCAGATATTTTTGCTAGGAATAATACTTGTTTTTCTGCCTCTCATCTGCAAATGTGTGCATATTTAATCAACTGATTTTACTATACTTCAAATAATAAATAAACTGCAGCTGGAGTTAATGAGGGACCAGCCCCTGGGGCCGGACCATCCACTCACACGTCCGCCAGCCCTGCTCATCCTTCCAGTTGTTCCTGAGTGCCATGCTCTTCCCAGTCAGCTAGCTACTCCTGGCAGAGGGAGAACAAGTCTCCCTGCAAGGATGCTGAGTGGCTAGCTGAGTGGCGCTCCAGAGCGATGGGAGGGAAGAGAGGGGCTGCTGCTGCCGACGGACAAGCGAGTGGGGCTGGACCCTTGTTAGCTCTAGTTGCGTGATATGAATACGAATACCCCCATCTCTACTAACAATAATAATACAGTATGTAGTACAGTAGGATCCCTGTATTCATGGTGAATTAGTTCCAAGCTCCCCCTGTGGATGGTGAAAAACGGAGAACACTATTTTAATAGGAAACACTAAACATAGCATATTCTCTGGCTTCATCTAGTGGCCAGTTCTGTTAATGACATTGTGGAAACCTATTTCTCTCGTGAATGCTATACATAACATGACCTCTGGCTCTCCCTAGTGTCCAGTTCTAGTATCATCATTGTTATAGAAAGAGAGAGAGATTTTCTTTTAATATTTTTTTAATATTTTCAGACCATGGATAAGTGAATCAGCAGATATTGATCCCATGGATAAGAGGATCTTACTGTATTTTTGTAGCATCTAGATAGTGGTTTGTGAATGTCCAAATTGCTTTGCATTGACTGACACTGTTCAGGGCTGGCCCCTCACATTAGATAGGGTGAGTTCATTGCTATGAACAGCAAATCTGTTGTTTCATAAAAGGGAAGCAAATTCTTAATTCTTTAGTTTCCTATTTCTGAATTTTTTTTTCATTCCCCAGGGTAGGGGAATGGGTTTGTAGGATTTATTTCTTCTGCTTCAAAATGGGATGTGTTTGGATATCTGCCCCTTGACACAGAGGAGGGGAGGGGGCTGAGAAAGCGTCTTGGGCCAGCCCTCTCTCCATCCGTCAATGCAGTCCCTTTTATTAATATGGTCCAAGGGGACACCATCATATACATGCTTGCCACTTGTTTTGTTCTACAAAGGCTTGGGGCACATGGCCATCTCTGAGCTTTCGGAGCTGCTGGGTCGAGTACAAGGTGCTATCCGGGAATACTCAGAGGAACTGGTGCATCAGCTGGCTCGTCGGGATGAACTGGAATTTGAGAAGGAGGTGAAGAACTCCTTCATTACTGTGTTGATTGAAGTCCAGAACAAGCAAAAGGAGCACAGGGAGCTGATGAAGAGGAGAAGGAAAGAGAAAGGGCTGAGTCTGCAGAGCAGCCGAATAGAACGGGCAACTCAAATGCCACTCAAGGTAGGCTCTCAAAGGGGGGGGGGAGGACAGAATGGGCTTGATTGAGAAGCATTTCCTTCCTTCCTTCCTTCCTTCCTTCCTTCCTTCCTTCCTTCCTTCCTTCCTTCCTTCCTTCCTTCCAGCATTGACATCATCTGGAGACTCTATTGCAGGAAGTTTGCAATGAGCTTGTTTGGCAAAGGCTAGATTAAAAACAAACAGCATGCACATATGATCCAATGCTATTCAAAATAATGGGTAGTTGCCATGTCAGCGGATTAACATCTTTTTACAGAAGCCACAGTGTAAAGAGATATCTGTATAAACAACAACTTGTCTGTGTTAAAAGCAAGGTTTATTTCTTGAATTCTCATTTGAAAGAAATAAATAAAACAACATCCACATTTAAAAAGTAACTCTGACACCCACCGTTCTTATGCCAAGACAAAATGGCATGAAAGAATGAATATGCTGGATTGTCTAGAAATCTCAAGCAAGCTGGGACCTAGCTGGCAGGTGGTTAGAGAAAGCTGGGCTTAGCAAAAGACCTGACTTTTTTAAAAAAGGCCAGATATTGTGCCCAAGAAGATTTTAATTTAAATAGAAATCTCAAAATAAAGATTTGTAAAAGAATGACAATGGATATTCCATGTATTGGTTAAGGGATGGATTTCTAAAGTACAGTATAAAGATATCTTTAGGCTCTCCTAAACGTTTAAGGGTACAGTCCATACCCATAGACCTGAGAGTAAGCTTCACTGAAATTGGGGGCGGGGGAATTTACTTCTGAGTAAAAGTATAGGATTGTGGGATTGTGTACATGCTGGATCTATGTACATGCTAAGAACCTAAAAGGCGCATTTGCAGTATGAGGAAGGTTTTGGACTATAGTTCCCATTATCTATTAGCACTGGCAATGCTAGCTTGCACTTCTAGAAACTGAATGGGAACGCCAGATGTCACTCATCTGCACTCCACAATTTACAGGATTGGATTCTTATTCATTCTTATTCATTCTTAAGCAGACCACCCTGCAGCAGAAGGCAAGCCCTAACACGTTCTGTTTTGCTTTTGTGTAGCGGTTCAGTATGGAAGGAATCTCAAATATCCTGCAGACTGGTATCCGGCAGACATTTGGGAACTCAGCGACAGACAAGCAGGTCAGTGTAGGACCTTCTAGGGTTCACTTATGCGCAAATTGCCTTTTTCTCCTCCTTGAAGTATCAGACTGGGAATGGCCTTATGTAGCCAAACATGACACCACCATAAAGAGGGAGATTCAACTGAGTTAAGGTTTGCACAAGTAAAAAAAATATATTGGGGGAAGAGTGTAACCCCTAACTAAGAGTTTCTAGTGAAAACTGAGGCACGCAGCTGGATCTATGTACATGCTAAGAACCTAAAAGGTTCATTGAATGGTTGTGCAATGTTGTCTGTGTTATGGCAAAGAAATGGAAACCAGTGTGGGTAAGGAGGGGAGAAGAATGGCATGTTTAAATTCCAGCATTTCATACAATTTGTGTGTGTGTTATCCAGCAAGATCACCAATAAAATGCCATGTAAGAAAAAAAAATATTCACGAAGGCTTTCACAGCCAGGATCTAATGGTTGTTGTGGGTTTTTTGGGCTCTTTGGCCGTGTTCTGAAGGTTGTTCTTCCTAACGTTTCACCAGTCTCTGTGATGCCAGCCACAGAGACTGGCAAAACGTTAGGAAGAACAACCTTCAGAACACAGCCAAAGAGACCAAAAAACCCACAACAACAACAACAAAAATATGCTTACCCACAAAAGACAAAAAACCCCACCACAACAACAAAAATATGCTTAATTCTTCCTGTTCTTTATGATTCCAAAGATAATCTTAGAGCTGCAGAGCTGAAAGGGGCCCTGTGGATCATCAAGACCATCCCCTGCCAAGGAGACACAGTAGGGGAATTGAACTCCCAACCACCTAAACTGCTGAACTATTATTTTTCAGTCACTTCCTGTTGTCTGTTAGGGATGTACTTTTAAATTGTTGGCAGTCTGAAACCGTTAGCAACTGTTTTGAACTATGAGCTCCCAATTGTCTAGCGTTCGGGAAAGGCTGGGGAAATTTTTTACTGCCAGCACTATGGCACAAGTAGCTTTCCTAAATGCTGAATGCTGCATTTGCTGACAACAGCAGTTTAAGTTCAGAATGTTAAAGAAGAAAAAAGGAGAGGGGGAAAGGCCTCCCTATGTGGATATGTGAATGGTTCTCAGCCTTTTCCTGGAGGAATGAAAAGGCCACAGTGTTGATGCCTTCAGGTTTCTACTCCTCTGAGAAAGAACAGAAATAAATAATTTCATGTCATTCCTTTCCAGTATTTGAATACAGTTATTCCGTATGAGAAGAAAGGAATGCCTCCTTCGGTGGAAGACTTACAAATGCTTACAAACAGTAAGTTTCTAGTCCTGCAGTTTTGGGGGCACACTAGAAACACAAGCTGAAGGTCAGCCATGGCTGTCTTAGGACCAAAGTGGAAAAACTTCTAAGAAAGCTGTGCTCTCCCAGTTCTTTAAAATTATTTTAAAAGCAGACTTGGAGCAGGGCTGTGGTGCTGGAAGATAATGGGTTTAGTCCTTTTCCTTGAGAAGACAGGGTGCTTTCATGCCACAATCTTTGGTTTCTACTTCCCACTTTTAGATGCCATTGTCTTCAGAGCTAGGTTAGCCTTCCGCAGGTGATTTGGACTACAATTGCCAGAACTCTTCGTAATTGGGCATTCTGGGCTGCAGCCGATGGGGAGAACAAGGAGAATGACGTACTAATTGTCCAGAGTTTGGAAAAAAAAAAATAGATCTCGGATTGCAAGTCCGTGGCCATTCTGGCTGGGGGATTTTAAGAACAGTCGTCCGAAAAGTAACATTTTCAAGCTTATGTTTTTGTTTCCTGTTTTGGGAAGTATAGTTCAATACTATTTACAAGTTCAAAGCAAGGCTAACTCATACCAAATGCACACACACACACACACACACAGAGGGCTGGGGTTTGGTTCTGTACAGTATGATTCTGCAGGACTATTTCCCACAGAGGTATAACTAATTCCCTAGAAAATGTCTATATTATTGAAGTTTTAATGATCCATACATGTCTGCTAGAGAGAGTAAATCCTTGTTTGATTCTTACTCTGAAGCTGATCGGTAAAGGACCAGATTTAGACCCATATTTCCTACTGGATCCCATGGTTTCTGCCAGAATCCACGATTCAGCCCTCTTTCTGAAGCTCTCTGTGTACCATCAGAAGCTTCCCTGGAGGGCAAAGAAACCCTCTAGAGCAGTCTGTGATCCCGCCGAGAGCTGCAGCAGCAAAACACGGACAAGACAGTCCTGATTTCATAAGCATGGGATACCAAAAGTACACCATTGGGCTTGGTTGTCGTTTTGAAAAGTTTCTATGGCTCCTTTTCATTGCTAAGGGTTACACAACTTTGCATTTTAAAAAATCCAGTTCACTGCTTTTGGTGTCCTAGAGAAATGCTGGATGTAGACTTTAAAGTACAGATAAATAAAGTAAGCTTATGACAGTTCATCTCCTGTTTCTAATGTGTCCCAAATATGCCTGTCTAAATTTGGCTTTTTAATGGAAAACAATCTCTCTTCTGCCAAGAGGAAGCATTTTGTTGTTTTGAAATTGTAAAAAACTACAGCCACCTCTTGTTGTTTTTTTTAAAATATGGAACGTGTACAAAAGGATAAAAGTGATATAACTCCTCTTCGGTGAGAAGGGTAGAAATGTCGTCTACTGCACATAAGCCCCATGGCCACTTTTGTGGCCATGGGGCTTATGTGAAATGGTGAAAAAAGTGTTCAGGAGTGGCAATTCACCTTTTAAATGAGTTGCAGCCCCCTTGCGCCTTTGTCAAGTTTCATTTTCTGACTTAGGACTTGGCTTCCATCTCCTTGTGATTTTCTTTTTTCTGGCCTTTTCCATTTTGGAGACTTTGCTTGACCTCCAGTGGATCCCTTTCCTAGGAAAGCGGTCTTCACTCTTGCCTGCTCCTTTTCTAAGCTGCATATTACTGCATGGAGGGAATAGTTCTGTGGCTGCTGTATTGGTATTTTAACTGAAACAGATATGGGGGACCTTTTTCTGACTGGCAGCCAAATTGTTTCTGGGCATACCTATTGGCAGCTAAAAGCAAAACAAAGGAAGTGTGCAATGTACAATATATACTGCCCCATAGTACTTAAAGTACTCTCTGGGCAATTTACAATTTAATTATACAGGGTACGCATTCCCCCCCCTCCCCCAGTGAGCTGGGTACGAATTTTACTGATTTCAGAGCCTGGAAGGTTGGTTTACAATTTAATTATACAGGCTACACATTCACCCCCCTTCCCCAGGGAGCTGGGTATTAATTTTACTGATTTCAGAGCCTGGAAGGCTGGATGAACCTTGAGCTGGCTGTCAGAATCCACTGGGATTGAACACTGACCATGAGCTGAGTTTTGACTAGGGTTTAACTAGAGTTAAACTAGGGTTTAACCACTGCACCATTGGGGCTCCTGTATGCCCACAATAGGTGAAACCGTACCCTAAAGTGGGATGTGTGTCCACATCCCAAAGTGGACAGAGCTACCCTTTTACTTGACATGTCGCTCCCACGGTGGCTTCCAGTCGCATAACCATACACACCCTACTCCCACTTTCCCTGTCTTGGAAAAGTCCAACAAGCATTGCAAATATCCTCCGGCTGTAAAAGAGCCTCGTTTGATACTGATGGAGGCTTTTTAAAAAGGCTCATTGCAGACATTTTTTCGAGGGGGATCACAGTGTTGTAGAGAGGAAGGTTTGTAAAACTCTACCCACTCCAAAAAAGGCTTGTTAATGTTTGGATATAGAGATTAAAGAGTCTCTGGTGTGTGTGTGTGTGTGTGTGTGTGTGTGTGTGTCTGTGTCTGTGTCTGTGTCTGTGTCTGTGTCTGTGTCTGTGTCTGTGTCTGTGTGTGTGCGTGTGTTTCAAAATATTTTAAAACACCTCTTCTTTCTATGAATAATCTGGAGACATTTCTTAATATTTCACCAGCATTCTATGTTAGTTCTTATCCTGTGTGTACAATTCGTTTTCTTCTTCCATGTTGATGTCTTCCCTGTTCTTCTTACGTCAGGAGCCCCACAGTACAATCAATAAATATTTCAGATAACTTTCACCCAATATTGGGCAACATCTACATTTGGAACAGCTAATCTCAGTTCTTCCATGGTAGATGCTAAGGAGCAATAGAGTACACTCGTACACTCACAATAGGTGTGAAGTTGCCTGTTCTTTTCTGCATTTGCAAAGGGCTGTGTCACCATTTCCTTAGGTTTGCCTTTCTTCTGCCAACTGCATTTTGACTTCTAAGTTAAACCAGTTCTCCATGTAACCAGGGGCTAGATTTTCCTCTAAAGGGGGGGTGGGGGTCCATCCATTTCAAGAGGTGTTTTGGCATTCTCTGCTGTTTCTTCATTCCAGAAGCACCATTAGATGACTTAAAACACCCATTCTATGGATCTTGTCCCAGAATTTCATATCCACCGTAAAGCAGGAAGGGAGCACTTATTTTCATAACCCTGAGTTTGAATTGTATTCTCAATTTTTTCAAAAGAAAAATGGTCTACACAGGCGCACTCTACACCAAATAGGGTTTCTGTGCACCTAATAGAGGCTTTGAAGAGGAAATTTAAGCAGGCATAGCTTGCAAACAATATCTGCTGATATCTTCTCTTCCAGGCAACTTTGACAGGTACAAGAGGATGAGGACCCTAGCTCTTTTTTTCATGGCGCGCATGTCTATGTATGCACAAGCATGCACACACACGATACATATACGTGTGTCTCTCAACATAATATTCATCCAGAGCATCAGTCCTTTTCCTCATTTAAGGCCACTCTTTCCACATATTACATGAAATGCATGTACAGGAGCAGCTCAGTGGAAAACGTGTGCCTCCCTACGTTGTCAAATTGCATCTTCATCATCCGTAGGCAGCAAGGTCTAGGGTGCTGAGGGGTGACAGGAGTTGTAGTTTAAGAACACCACCTGGAGATCCACATCTTTATTACCCGTGATCCACACCGTACTGTTTGGAGAGTTTTTCACATTGCTGCGGCACTTTTCCTCCCAGAAGAAACAGTAGCATTAGGATTGGGACCACAGCTATTTACTATATAACATTGAGCTTCTGTCCTGAAAAGACCCGAGCACGTTCTAGAATGCTTCAGAGCTTCCAAAGCTATTTCATAAATATCCAAGTTTGTCAGCTAGAAGATTTTGCCTCTAACTCTGACTGAACGATTTGTGGAACCAAAATGGAAAGTCTGAGATGTTGTGACAGCCCTTCATGCATTCTGGGAGAATCGCTCGTCTCCTTTTGAATCTCCATGGCAACTGTGTTTTGAACTGAGTGAACAAACACTGCCTTAGTTCTCTTGAAAAAAGACCAAAGGGTCATGAATGGCTGTTTTTGTGCACAGAGTGAGTTTTGTGTAAATGACAATTTGTGTCTAGAGGCAAAGCATTAGCAAACAGGTTACCAGGGATAAATTTGAGCTTTTTTGCCTAATTAACTGGTGTGCAAAGCTGTATCAGAGTGTGATGCAAACAGAAGAGATATTGAGATCGGATCAGTTACTGAGCTGGAAGAAATGTGCTTGAATAAGATTCAAAGACCAGCCAACCCCTTAAAATTCACATTCTTGAATCGTTGGTGTCTAAGTTGCTACTAGCAGAGCGTATAGTAATGTGACGAGCATCTGACGTGTATGTTTCACTTTCCCACATTTTAGAAAGAGGTAGAAGAATCTATCTCTGCATGCCACAGTTTACTTAGACATCCATTCTCTTCAACGGCCTCATTTATCTTCAGTGTTAAAAAAAAGGTCTCAGCACATGTTTTGCAATATGTATTTAAAAATATTTTTAAAACATAAGAGCTGCAAATGAATTCAAGAGGTGAAAATTGCTCTTATTATTTCTTATTTTAAACAAAACTCTTAGAGATAAAATATGCAAGAGTTAAAAACAGCAAAATAATGTGGCATATAAAACAAAATATGGCATATAAAACAAAATTGCACATTCCCCCAATAAGTAGTATTTGGTGGAGCAAAACATTTTCATTTAGGAATCTATGAAGAGACTGCTTATGTGATGCAGTGATTAGTGTGTTAGGGTGGAATATAGGAAATCCAGATTCAAGTCCCCAATGAGCCATGAAACCCATGGGTGACCTTGGACCAGTCCCTGACTCTTAGTCTGGTCTACCTCCCAGGCTAGTTGTGAAGGTATCATTCATTCATTCATTCATTCATTCATTCATTCATTCATTCATTCATTCATTCATTCATTCATTCATTCATTGGATTTCTATCTCACCCATCTAGACCAAAGGTCTACTCTGGGCGGTTTACAAATTTAAAAACAATAAAACGAAAAAACATATAGATCCAAGGTGGCGAAAGTGTAAGAAATTAAGATACGGCAGGAGGGAAAGCCTGCCCAAATAGTCAGTTTTTAAGTTTATTCCTGTAAAACACTCAGAGGGAGAGCCAGGTGGATTTCCACTAGCAAGTTGTTCCAAAGGCGAGGGGCCATTGCCAAGAAGGCCCGGTTCCTCGTTCTTTCCTTCCGGACCTCCCTCAGCGTTAGGCCCCTCAGCCGCCCGGCCTGGCTGACTCTGGAAGAACTGGGTGGGAGAAGGTGCTCTGCCAGATATTGAGGTCCTAAACCGTTTAGGGCTTTATATGTAATCATAAGAACTTTGAAATCAACGCGGAAACGAATGGGCACCCAACGCAAGGTGGCCAGAATGGGGGCAATATGATGGTAGCTTTTCACCCCAGTAAGAAGTCTGGCTGCGGCATTCTGCACCATCTGAGGTTTCTGTGTCAGTCTCAGAGGCAGCCCCATGTAGAGCACATTGCAGTAGTCTAATCTTGAGACTACGAGCACATGGGCCAAAGCGGTGAGCGCCGCCACATCAAGATAAGGATGCAGCTGGGCAATCCACCAAAGGTGGAAATGTGCAGAAACGACCACTGATGACACCTGGGTCTCCATGGTGAGTGCTGGGTCCAGATGTACACCCAAGCTGCGAAACTCACTCTTGGTGGTAAGAGTCACCCCCCCAAAAGGAGAGGGAGTTTCCCAGACCACTGATGTCTGGGACACCCACCCAAAGGACCTCTGTCTTGCCCGGATTCAGCCTCAGTCCATTTCACATCCATTGCTGAACAGGCCCATATAGATGTTAAATAGCATTGGAGAGATGATCGAGCCCCGTGGAACCGCACAATTGAGGCTCCACAGGGCTGAGAAACTCTCTCCAATCTGCATTCTCTGGGGTGGTCCTCCAAGATGGAATGGAGCCAGGCAAGAGGCAGGCCACCAGTTCCCAACCCGGATAGCCTTCCCAGGAGAATACTGTGGTCAACGGTATCAAAGACGGCTAAGATATTGAGGAGAACCAGCAGAGACATTTTCCCTGTCGGCCTCCCTCAGTAGGTCATCAAACAGAGTGACCAATGCCATTTCCATGTCGTGGCACGGCCTGAAGCCTGACTGGAATGGATCCAGGGCATTGGTTTCATTCAGAAGAGACTGCAGCTGATTGGCCACCACCCTCTCAACTACCTTGCTAAGGAAAGAAACACTGGTGACGGGCCTATAACTGCCAATATTGTCCGTTGCCAAGCTCGGTTTCTTCCTAATGGGCCTAATGAGTGTTTCCTGGAGAGACCTATTAATTATTGCCGTAGCCCATTATGATGTTATAGGCCTGCTTTGATTAGCCAGGCCGGGCAAGGGTCAAGGGAGGAGGAGGTGGTGTGACAGCGGTCAAGCACTCTGTCCACCATGTCTGACATCACAGGCTGAAAGTGGTTAAGTCTCATCAGGCAAGATGGAGCGCTGGATGTTTCTGCTCGATCCATTGTTTTTAAATAGTTGGTAAGATCCTGGTGGATGGCCTCCACTTTTGATTTTTAAAAGGCTGCAAATTGGTCAAGTGAGATGCTAGTGGGAGGCCAGTCACTATGACCAACTATGGATAGATCGTGGACTATACAGAAAAATTCTGCCTGCTGGTTGGAGGCTTTGCTTATCCGGACAGCGAAGTAAGATCGACTAGCAGCCTTCACCTTAGATTGGTAGAGGTTAGTCACGATCCTGACAGTTATTTGATTATTTTCCATCAGGTTCTGCCTCTATATGCGCTCTAGCCTTCTCCTATTTTGCTTCATTGATCACAGCTCTGGATTAAACCAGGGCGAAGAGCTATTTCTGTGCCGAAGAGGGCATTTAGGTGCGCTCGTGTCAACAGCCCTTGTGGCGGCGGCCAGTCAGCTATCAACCAGAGCCTCGACAGATGCGCCCGTCAAATCAGCTGGAATCCCTCTCGTGGTATCCTGGAATCCTATAGGATCCAATAACCTTTGAAGGCAGACCATTAAAACAGGTCCTTGCTCCCCGCGGGGAGGGAGAGCTACTGTGAGATTGCATTTAATTGGGCGATGATCCGACCATGACAAGGGGACTGACACAAGGTCAGTCATCATCGGAGCACACTCTCTGCTCCGTGGAGACCACCAGGTAACATTTTGTATGCTGCAACCAAGCTTGCAGTAGAAAACACATAGTGTTGATACAGCCAATGAGTAATGATGGGAACTAACATGGTGTAGTGGCTATAGTGTTAGAAAAGGGCTCACTCAGCTTTGGAAACTTATTGTACGCACATGTATGTAAAAGGTAAAACAATTCATTAACAACTGCATACCTTAACAACTCTGTTGGGTTATGGTAAGTCAGGTGTGACTTGATGACACACAACAACAATAAGTATTCCTAATGCTATTTAGATTTCCCATCCTGTAGGCTCTCCTCTGAAAGGCTACTTTACATAAGGATGACATGCAATGATTGGATCAAACCATTGTACTAAGAAAGACACGAATAGGACTACCAGGTCTTGGGGTGTCACAGCAGGCCACTGATGTTCTGAAGCCTTCCAGAGCTAAAAGTAATAAGTCTAGTAACTAAAGGTTCTTTGGTCATATTGGGACTTTGGTCATTTGGGACTCTGCCCCAAACCTACCAGGGACCACCCTTCTGTCACTAATGGTGCTGCAGCTGAAATGTGGCCTTGCTGCCAACATGTGGCAAGAACGGCTGCAACCTCTTGTATTGAGGAGGAGGAGAAGGAGTCAAGGGCTGGGATTTGTTTGTGTGTGTGCTTGTGTGTATATCATTGCCATTAGTGGCTTTCAGTGACATGAGTGTAGAACTGCTCTAGAAAAGATTCTAAAGGCAACCAACCAGGTATAAGGAAGGATTCCACAAGCAAGATGGCCTTTCTGAAAAGATCTGAAAAGAGTAGTAGAATATACCAGATGGGCGAGATATAAATCGAATAGATAAATAAATAAATATCCTTGACGACTAACTGGCCAGTTGGAGGGATTTGATCTGCCCTCTCCCTTGGAAAATGGAAAAGGATCCATCTCATGCTAAAGGGAAAACACACACACACACACGCACACGCACACGCACACGCACACGCACACGCACACGCACACGCACAAACTTATCTAGATCCCCTCTCCCCCTCTCCCTCCCCCTCTCTCTTCTTTTGGCTCTCTCCCTCTCAGATAGAAAAATGGAGTAGAGGAAAAAGGCAACTAGCAAAGAAGGAAGCAGGAAGGATTTAGAACATGCTTCCCACCAACACTCAGTGTTAAAAGGAGAATCAAAGAAGGTTGTAATTTTCCAACACAAATCTGGGCCAACGTACTAATCTCAGTGCATAGGCAGATAGATAAGGGGCAACATAGTCCTTCTGAATTAAAAACTAATGCATTTTCCCCCTCCAACTTCTTTCCTTAGTTCTTTTTGCGATGAAAGAAGACAACGAAAAAGTCCCTACGTTGCTAACTGACTACATTTTAAAAGGTAACTATCAAAAGGAACGAGTGTGGCTGTCCTCTACTGAAGACACCCTAAGGCTGCTGTACTCTGACTGGCAGCAGCTGCCCAACCGTCTCGGTCAAAGAGGTCTTTCCCATCAACTACTATCTGATCTGTTTAACTGGAGTTCTCAGGGGCTGGATCCTGGACCTCCTAAATGCAAGTCAGGCGCTCCACATTTGAGCTACACGCTCTCTCTTAAGATTAGGAACATTAGATGTTCTCTGTCACCACCAGAGTGTCTACATGAGAATCTGAGCAGTAAACTGGAGTGTGTGCATGTAATTGGATGAAAAATTGCTCTGTTTTCACAAGAGGCTGTAGTTCATTGCATGAGCTTCTGTGCAACACAGCTACACTTTACATCTGCTGCAAGACATGGCTGATTGCAAAGAAGGATATATCCATTAGACCCCCCCCCCCGGGAGGGAGGCAGGTTGATTGAAGTTTGGTTTCAGTCAAAACTTTTCCATCATTTGACAGACATACATGCCAGCAAATCAAGCATTACCTTGAAGCAAAATAGCTGCTTATTCAATTTTATTTCCGCAGCCTCTCACATATATTTTTCCATCAAATCTATATTCTTTATATCTTCAGATTTTAGAAATGTTAATGGCAGCACTAATGCATCAACTCAGCAAATAAAGTTTAACTTGTTAACATGAAACTGATAAGAAAAATTATAACATTATTTAATCATTAATGCATTAAATTGTCAAATAAATTACATTATTTAAAATAACGAAAATATTTGGTGCCAAATGAAGAACTGATCACTGTTACAGTGGTGCCTCGCTAGACTATTGCCTTGCAGGATGAAAACCCCACAAGATGATTGTTTTTTGTGATCACTATGGTGCCTCACAAGACTTTTTTTCTATGACCGTGCTTCGTAAGATTTTTTTTAGACCAATGCTTCGCAAGACTTTTTTTTTTGGACGGATGCATAGGGAACCTCACAAGACGATTTTTTCACAAGACAACGATATTCGCGGAACCAATTAAAATCGTCTTGCAAGGCACCACTGTACTTGGAAACTGTTGGTGTTTAATAATTTAAAATGTCACTTTAAAAAAAGTTGAAGATGTCAATAAATTAGGGATAGCAAATGATTTTAAATAAATTATTTCCAAGTTCTCCATCCATGTCCTGAATTGTTGTTGTTTTTTTCCTTCCCTTTTCTTCTTCTTCCAGTTCTTTGTCCTACCTAAACTCCATGCTCTGTGCATCATGAGACCAACAGGAAACAACAAGGCCAGTGCGTCATTCCACCACAGGGACTGCATGACATGATGTAAAACTTTTGAATTGTGTATTTAAAGATGTATAGCATTAACCTGGATTAAACACAAGCAAAACTCTTTCCTTCACTGTCGGTTTCTAGTTGTAGTAAACATTTGAATGCATGAGTGAAGGTAAGGGTTTCTTCTCTCTCTCTCTCTCTCTCTCTCTCTCTCCTTCTCTCTCTCTCCCCTCCCCCCAACCCCTTGACTAGAGATAGTCTTGGAGCAGGCAGTCCATCAGCCTACACCAAGTATTCTCAGCCCATCTTTCCCACGAGCAGGTATATGAAACTAATTTGAATACTGAAATAAACTTTCCTTTAATTAAAATGGTGTCCCGTTTCTTGGAGAGAGTGTCGCTTTCAAAACAACAATAACCCAATTTGTGGGCTTGGTAAAACCCCAGAGAAAGAAACTGAAGGTGGATGAGTTGGTTTTTCACATGCTTTTTCGCAGGCATTTAAAAATAAAACCCAAATAAGAGAATAAGAATTCCATCAACTATTTGAGATTCTTCTGCTGATTTGCTAATCCAGGATATGGTGGCATTGAGTGCGATTTTTAAGTTCCAGCTCCAACATTAGACAAAGGGAGGCCGAGGCCTCTGGAGCAGCAGGTTTGCAGTGCCATGAAAGGGAAATGACTGTTGCTAATTTAATTTGTTATTCATGTTTTTAACTACCCTGATGAGGTGTGTTTATGGGATTTCCAGCTTTGTGCATCAAAATAACTCATTTGTCTTGGGGGGGAGGGGCAGAGGAAGGGGAGAGAGAGGATCACTCTTTACTGCTATGCCTGAGGCTTTTAGATGAAGAAAGATACGGGGTCAAGATGGAACATCTGCTCCTGTAAAAAAAGTAGGTTTTCCACCCTCCAAGACTTGATCCCATATGATTGATCCCCGTTCACCTCCACACTTTTTCCTTCTTCCTGGGAAGATGGCTGATTGTTCGGGAATGGAATCAGCATTTATGTGCTACAGCACTTTCTAGGGAGAGTTCGTTTTTGCATCAGTCTCGCCAGAAAAACTTTTTCATTAGCATATTTATCAAAAGAAATAGCCACATTTGAACAGAGAAATAGATTTCTAGCCAGGTTGTCAATGATTTCAGGAAGAAAATTAGTTTCCAGAGATGTGACTTTTAAAGTTCAGAAAACAGGACTAAAGAGGGGTGGAAGCGAAAGAGGCCGCAATGGAGATGAATCTGGATCCACGTATCCACACATGATGAATCTGTGGATACGTATGTACAGTGGACCCTCGACTTACAGACGGCTCGACTTACAGACTTCTCTGGCTGCAAAATTTAGATTCGACTTCCAGCCAGAGAATCGACTTACAGACCAGAAAAAAACCAAAATGGAATAAAAATAGAATAAAAACCACTGGTTATGGGATTAATCGGTTTTCAGTGCATTGTAGGTCAATGGAGATTCGACTTACAGACTTTTCGACTTGCAGCCACCATTCCAATATGGATTAATTCTGTAAGTGGAGGGTCCACTGTATGCCTTTTAAAGATAAATGCTGACCTTTAGATATGCATTTCTGCGGTAAACTAAAACAATGCATGTTGTCTTTGTGGCTGACTCCTTGTTCCAAGGCTTGTCATTCATAGCTAGCTAGCTAGACAAATTTTATTATAGTCAATGACCAATATCCAAAATACAAATAAAACAGAAATACATAAAATGTGTTATTCCAAACAATTACATAGCTATCACCGCCGCCTAGAGTGGTCACAATTGACTAGATAGGCGGGGTATAAATGAAATAAATAAAATAAATAAGTAAATAAATAAATAAAAATTAACATAGTTAAAATTCTACTAGAGGCACAATTAGTACTAAATATATTCCCTTTTAGTAGATTGATGCTTTAACTAAGACCTAATTATAAATTTATTAAAACCAAGCCTTCACAAATTTTGACTGTAGCAGCACAGAATTTTGCCGCATTAATCAGCATACATATATTGTGCCCTAAAAACATATAAAAGAGTGAAATATTCTTTTGATCATCCAGGAAATTCCTTTTTAAAAAGTTCAATAAGAATTTTCTAAATATTGAGATTAAAATGACAATGCAAAAAAGGAGATGTTTTACCATTTCTATTCCTCCAAAATAAGGACAGTTGCATTGGCAGTATGGGATTTTTAAAAATTTCTCCTCCTGGACTACTGATGGCAGAGCATTAAGCCAGGCAAATGTGACAGTTCTTTGACACTTTTGTATTGAAAGTAAATACAGAATTATTCACTGTTTTTTAAAGGCAGAAATGCTGTGTTGATTAGAATATCGTTAATTCGCACCTAGATCATCTGTCTCTTGACTGTGAAACATTGTCTGAGAGCTAATATAGCTGCAATGCATCCCATATAGATAAGGCATAAAGAAAAGCCGGACCTTCTGAATTTAGCAGAGAGAGCTTTCAACCAAACTGACTAATAACTGGCCTGTAATAGGAGAGGGCTTAAGCTGGTTTCCCTGTCTTTGAAATCTGCACAAGCAAACTACGGCTAAAAAGGTGTTTTTGGCAGCAAATTACAATTCCTCCTTCCTGTTCAATGTTGTGGACAGTAAGAGGGTCTGAGTCCTGATGCTTACCTCTGACAGCAAAGCCTTTCCTGGCATGACATACTAACCATGAGCATGTGCTTCATGTATTCTGGTCCTGCTGCCAGCACCGAGACCAGGTGAGAAGCCGGCTGCCCTACGGTTTTATGATTTTGTTTGTCAGAACTGAAACTTTTCTTCATATTCTATTCAAGAAACTGGAATTGCTCAGAGCAAATTTGCAACCTGTGTGTGTTTTACCAAGGGCAGGTTCCAGGACATTAGCACTCTCCATTACTGTAGACTTTGAGATAGCTGCAGTGTTTGTATGGCATAAACAAGTATTTTAAACATGTATGCAAATGCTCTACATCCCAAAAAAAAATCTTAGGACCCAAATATAAATAGTGCAGAAATTATTCTTCCCACTGCTTTGCAGGCAATCAATCCGTCAACGCATATTACAAACGAAAAGATGCTTAGCCCTGTTGCAGCTACTTGGAGGGAAAAACACAAAAAAATCCCAAATAGCACGTTGCTTGCAAGCAATTCCCCCTCCACAAATAACATTAATTTATGTGCTTATTTCCCCAGCAGTCTCTTCTTCTGATGTTTGTCCTGGAAGAAATACAAATCTCTTTCTAAACAGGCTAAGAAAATGTAAATGGAATCTAGAACTCCCCAGCAACTTTTGCAGTGGTGCAATTAGGCAGTCTTAGACTTTGGAGTCAATGGCTGAAGACGCATCCATCCTACTGCATCTCCACTGGATTTCTGCCCCACCACACCTCCCTTTTCCTCATGACGTATCTTATTGGCATTTCATTTACCCAACAGAGGCTGTACCCAGCAGCAAATCCATCCAGCCCTGATGCAGTGACAAAATCAGAATGGTTTCTTGAACTCAGTCAAAGATTTTCTGCTTAGACTACAGGCAGGCAAACATACCAAGATCTGTGTCTTGTGGAACCATCATTTAATTGGGGAGCAACAAAATACTCCTACATGGAGATCACATGGCCAGAAAGGAGGGGCATCACATTTGCAATCCACGTGGTTTCTGATTCCATTTTTTGATCTGACAAAACACATGATTCCAACACATCGCCTGTCCACTTTGTGAAATTTGGTGTGATCACATCCATGCTTAAAAGGTCCTTATGTTCAGTGCAATCAATTTAGACTCTCTTTTAAGCAATCAGTCCACCCACACTGGAGCCTTGAAGCTCATGGGAAGCTGGCCATGGTGTGTCAGAGAGACTCACTGCCTTTCTGCTGCTCCTCTCCACTGCCCAGATGATCGAGGAGGGCTGGAAGCTAGCTATGGTATCAGAGAGGCTCACCCATGTCTCGTTCAGCTGGTCTCTGCCTCCCAGCTGTTCCCTTCCACAGCTGATCAGCAGAGAGGGGAAGCTGGCAGCTGGTGCCAGTGTCAGAGGGGCTTGCAGCCTCGCAGTGGCCCATCAGCTGTTTTTCTCTGCTCCTGATTTGCTGCTGCCCCTGCCTCCTCTGCCACCACCACCACCACTGCTAAGATGATCTCTGGAGCTGCAGGGGTTATGCCCAGCTTCAGGACACTGCACAGACTCTGTGAGCACATGAGCAACATTTGCTTCTGAGGAAGCGGTCACCAGCCTTCACCGGTCTTGGCTGGCCTCCTGGACTGCTCTTCCTCACCTGCCCCCCCTGAGCCTACTGGGCTCCAAATTGTGCTAAAAAGAATGCATGCCCTAGCTGTGTATCAGAAAGGTGTGGGACAGCTATTCAAGGGAAAGTGTGGATTGTTCTAAGTAGAAACACAAGCAGACACAATATTTTTTTCAGGTCTAAATTGTGTTGTCAGCAATCCATCTACCATATCTATATGCCAGTGTGAATAGACCTTAATATAGACATGAGTCTCTTTAATTGTTGCTTTCCACTGTGTCAGTTAGCAACCAGTAAAAAACCTTCCGTCCCCTGTCCTCCAAGGGAGAGCCAGAAGTTTTCCCTTTCTCAAGATCATTAAGGTTTTTAAGAGGCTTCTCCAAAGAGATGGTCAGCCAGCAGCTTAATGATCTTGAGGGATCTTTCCTTTTAAAAGGAGTCTTTCCTTTCCTTTTAAAGGGAAAGATCTTTTTCCAGCTAAACAGGGTCATGGTTTACATCTGAAACTGCAAACTGCTCATTGGGTTCACAGGAGTTCACTGTTCATACTGGATGTGATGAGGTTCACATTCTGGCCCACACCCCCTCTTCTTTCCTCTGTTTCCACCTGTGCCAATCCTACCTTCCTTCTCTGGCCCCACCTCTATGGGGCATAAATGGAGGAAATAATAATGAGTAATAATGTGATAGGGTGATCAAGTGCTAATTTCATATATGTAAGATATTTTTTTAAAAAATCAAAGGGCAATTGAGGGAGAGGAAAAAATGGGGGGGAGGTGTTCCCCCAGTCCTGAACATCACACCCCATCTGCCTACATCACTGAAAACCACACATCATAGGTATTCTTCAGTCTCGAGAGACTATGGTAACATGCTTTGTATGGAGGACTTTGATGCTGTATGCGAAGCTGCAGTGTCCTCTCCAGAGCACAAAGCCTGGGTAAAATAATATGGAGGATAGGCTATTACCCAACCAGCAATTCCCCCCTCCCCACTTCGCTGAGATAGTCCAATGGAAAGGCAAGAGCCAATACAACTGGTTCCAGCAATGTCGCAGGAGTTGCCAGAATGACACAAACTGCCTCCAGGACTGTACTCCAGAAGGTGCGATCTGAACCAATGGAT